GGCACTCATTCCAGACAGGAGTAGTGAGATCTTTATTGAGACTGGAGTAGTAGGACCTTTACTCTGCACCCAAACTGTGTTGTACATGGCCTGGGAGGGTTTCATGTTGTAACATGGCATGTTGCCTGTGTATCAACCACTTGGGGGCGGAAGCGGGGGGAGGTTTGTTGTTAGTATAGAGTGCTGTCACCAACCCTCCTTCCAATGTTATTCTAACATGTGAATTTTTTATTTATTCACAGGACATGAGCATCGTTGGCTGGACCAGCATTCATTGCGCGTTTCTAATTGTTAAGAGTCAACTACATTGCTGTGGGGCTGGAGTCACATGTAGGCCAGAAGGGCATTAGCAAATCAGATGGGCTTTCCCCCCAAGAATTGATTTCTGGTCACCATTAGACTCTTAATTCCAGATTTTTAAAAGAAATTGAATTCAAATTCCACCATCTGCAATGACAGGATTTGAACCCTGGTCCCCACAACATTATCTGAGCCTCTGGATCAATAGTCTAGTGATAATACAACTGGGCCATCATCTCCACTGACTCTGCAGTTGTGCAGTAGTCTTTGGTGGAGGATGGACCACAAATAAATATCAGCAGAAAAGGCTGTTGTCTGAGATAACAAGATACAGTTTATTACATCTCAACACTATTACATCTTGGGAAGGTGATGGTCTAGTGGTATTATCACTGGATCGTTAATCTAGAGACCCAGACAATGTTCTGGGGACCCAGGTTTGAATCCTACCACGGCAAATGGTGGAATTTGAATTCAATAAAATATCTGGAATTAAGAATCTAACAATGACCGTGAATCCATTGTTGATTGTCAGGAAAAACCCACCTGGTTCACTGATGTCCTTTAGGGAAGGAAACTGCCATCCTTACCTGGTCTGGCCTACATGTGATTTCAGATCCACAGCAACGCGGTTGACTCTGGGCAATTAGGGATGTGCAATAAATATTGCAGCAGCAATAAATGCTGCCTAGCCAGTGACACCCTCATCCTGTTAATGAATAAAGAAATAAAAGTAATTGTATAGTCATGACATTAGATATATTGACTATTACTAACAAGAGATAGAGGAAAGTATTGTGGCTGTGGCACACTCCAACTGCTGTCTGTCCAATGCTCCACTCCATATGGACAGACAGGAGCAGATGGAATTTAATATAGAGAAGTGCGAGATAACTTGTCTTATTCATCACCTGAGTTTCATGGTTTAGAATTGTGCAGTTATCAACAGGTCCAGGTGAATTTTTGGGGTTCTTTGGCGATGCAGCATAACATTAGACCTTGAAGGAATGAAAAATAATTTACAGAATGATTGTATCATTCAAAGGCACAAAGCCTTGTTTTAACATGTTAGCACCGGTCCAGTATTACATTACCTTTATGTCCGTGGTATGCTAGTTATTCTTTACATCTCAGTGCAGATTATACCTTAGTCAAACCACGCTCTACTAAATATAGATTTACCTGTTTACATCTAGAGATTTGCAGTTTAATCCTCAGTAAAGACGCACTCAGTACTCAGGGAATGCTGTGCTGTCAGAGAGTCAGTACTGAGGGAGAGGACACTTTCAGAGGGTCAGTACCGAGGGAGTGCCGCACTGTCAGAGGGTCTGTACTGTGGGAATTCTGCACTGTCAGAGGGTCAGTACTGAGGGAATGCAGTACTGTAAGATTGTTTATCTGAAGGAATGCTGCATTGTCAGAGGGTAGTACTGAGGGAGCAGCAAATTGTCACAGGACCAGTACAGAGGGAGTTTTGCACAGTTGGATTTGCTGAGCTTTTTCAGCAATTTCTGTTTTTGTTTCTGATTTCCAGCGCCTGCAGTTCTTTGGTTTTTAGTTTAAAGGAAAGCTGTAACGATTAGCTGATGCTGCAGGGACTAGGCAGCAAGGTAGTCAGGTTTTTGTGTAAGATTGCTGGGGTCATGAGAGGAAGGATTATATTTTTACATGGTCAGTAGTAATGAACTCACTGCCTGAGAGACTAGTGGAAGCAGAGATGATCAATCAATTCAAAGGAAAATTAGATGGGCAATTGAGAGGAAATAAATTTGCAGAATTATATGGATGGTGTTGGAGGGGAAAGGACGGTTTTCCAGAGATCTGGTGTGAGCTTGATGGATCAAATAGACCTGTTAGTGCCATAATACTACGTGACTCTTGCAAAGACTTAGTGGATCAGGAATGACAGAAGCAAATCTGGCCAAAGTCTACCCATTCCTTAAACCCGAGGGGACTTAGAGACTAAAAGCAGTTCTTTGGAAGTGACTGAACATCAGTACTTGGATCTGGGAATGTCACAAAGCCAGACTGGGCATTGCTTTGAATAATGTCCAGGTTGGAAATTTCTCCAACAGAAGGTGCCGAAAAGCCCACCCACATAAAAACAGGCTGGGTTTGAAACAAAATGATTATCAGGCATTCTTTTTGTTGACTTGTATTATCCTCGTCTTTCTGTGAAACTCTCAGCACAAACAGTTTGCAAACTCACCTATTGTTGCAGCGGGTGCTCTGCGTCCAATAATTAACCAGCCATGTGAGCTTTTTCATTCTCCCCGATAATTATCCTTGGTAACAATCAATGGGTAGATTAGTTACTGAACCATCAGCACTCCGAGCTTCTGCTGTTTGTGACTTTCAGTAAACACTGGTGACTAAGCAAGAATCATCAGCAGAAAATAGAAAGAGCCACACAGGAGGTTAATCACTTGCCAATAATTGTCAAAAACAGATTTATACATCAAACTCCTGCCCTTATTTCTGGCCTGCATGGAATTTGGCACATGTGGGATAGTACCATTCCAGCTGTCCTGTTACACTGCCAAAGTGGCCATTCTTCATGCACAGAGCTGGTTGACAGACTATTCCATCAGAGGAGGCATCATGGCCGTAGTAGATCTCTTTCTTCTCCAACATCTGTGTCATTGGAAGCAAGCAGGAATAGAAACTGTGGGCTGAATGGTCGTGTCCTGTGCAATTACCATTCTCTTAACCCAGGAACAGGAGCCAATGGGAACAGCCCAAACAAAGCTCGGCACAGACAGGTACACGAGCCTGGGATCTTGCTGATCAATCCCACACTAGAGAGTTACTGAGTGAATGTGAAGGGTTTCAGTGCTGTAAAAACGCAGACCCATCATCTTTCAGGATGGAGTGATTCCAAAGCACCCAGCTCTGAGTTAAAGGCAGACTATTTGAGCCTAGATGGTGCTGACAGGCTATTTAACTGCAGGAAGCATCAGCAAAACATGATCCTGTCCTCGAAAGAAATGGTGCTTGGCCCGGGGCTTAAGTCACCAACTAAAAGGGTCCTCATGCACTTTCTTTGAATACATCAACTTCACAAAGGGGTCAGGTAGAGCCATGCACATTCTACATGGTTGGGGAAGTGAGTGAGAAGGTAATAAAGAAACAAAAGTACTTTCATAGAACCAAAATACGTCTGATACTTCGATGCTACACTGAAGGAGCACAGCATTGTCAAAGTCACCAGACTTTGGATGGGATTTTAAAAGACTCCCCTCTTAGGGGGTTGTCAAAGGACCCAAAGGAACTATTGTGGCAAGTTCTCCATACAGCCCAGGGTCTGAATTGGATTGCTCTAGTGGCAGAACAGATCAGATCATCGTCACCGTGCTGTTCATGGGGGCTTGCTATGCAAAATCAGTTGCTGTGCTCCTTACAATTGCAACAGGGACTCCCCGTTCACAAGTGTTACAAAATGCCTTGGCCCGTTTGGAAATAATGAAGAGCTCTATGCAAATGCGCGCCTTTTCTTTATTTCTCCAAAGTCTCATATCCCACCAAATGACGAGGTGCTGTTAACACACAATTTCCTTCTGGAGGATTTTGTTAAGGCTGGAAGATTTTTGGAAGACGATTTTGTAAGTATTATCATCGTCGGTGTCCCTCACTGACAACGATGACTCCCTTCCAGTCTCAGGGTGAGTTTGTAGGTGCCTTACAAACTGATGCGGATACTGCAGGCTCTGTTACACTTGGAGCAGAAGGTGGTCACAGGAATGGGTGGGTGGGGCATTGGTGTGGCGGTGTGCTCCTTTCACCCGGCTTCCACTTTTTCCCAACAGCAAGTCTTAAGATGCTCGACACCCTCCCGGATGCTCCTCCTCCACCTTGGACGGTCTTGAACCAGTGATTCCCAGGTGTCAGTGGGAATGCTGCGCTTCACCAGTGAGGCCTTGAGGGTATCACTGAAGAAATTCTTCTGTCCAGCTGGCGCTGGGAATACAGCACCTGCTCGGGGAGACTCTCGTGTCGGTGAAGCGGACGATGTACTCAGCCCATCTTAGCCAATTAAGGGAGGTCAGCGTCTCAATGCTGGGTAATGTTGGCATGGTCAAGAATGCTGGCGTTGGTGCGTCTGTCTTCCCATGGGAATTCGCAGGACTTTGCACAGGCAGCGTTGGTGGTACTGTTCCAGCACCTTGAGGTGTCTGCTATAGACAGTCCGTGTCTCAGAGGTATATCGGAGGGTGGGACACACCACAGCTCTGTAAACCATGATCTTGGTGTCGAATCTGATGTTGTTGTCCTTGAAGACCCTTTTCATCAGGCGGCCGAAGGCTGCGCTAACACACTGGAGGTGATGCTGGATCTCTTCATCAATAGCCACTCCAGCCAACTGAAAGATGGGATGGAAGTGAGTCCAGTGGTCAGGTGGGGCAGCCCATAGAGGAATTGATAAATTGGGAATCAATACATTCCTGCGCCTATCCTGCAAAGAAAACCAAACAAATGTCTCCCTAATACGAGTTGGTGTAAAGTTTTAGTCAATATCCCTCTTGCTTTGGTATCTTTTACTCTTAAAATAAATGACAGCATTAATATGAAATTGTAACAAAACAATCTGTCCCTTCCGGAAGAATGGATGCAGCTCATTGCTGCCATCTGCTGTTAAATATTGATCCTCGTCACTGAGAGAGTGAGTGAAAAGGCATAACAAAAGCACGAACGCCTTGAAATAAACTTATGGTGTAAATGTTTATTGTTGGGGAAAGAAATTTACATTGGCTGATAATCTATAAGGGGAAAATGATAAATAAAAGTTTAATTACAAAAAGCTACTTACGATCACAGCAAAGTTACTGAAATGTAACTATGTTTACAGTTTTTACTTTTATACATTAATTACATCATTCATAAAATAATTAGGTTTTCATCCTTATAATTTTTTTTGTACACAGAATCAAGAAAAATACAAGGTGTACCTTGGTGCAAGTAGATTTTTTTTATCCTCAGGAATATTTTTTCGAAAGCAGAGAGGTATATAAAATGCTTGAGAGACATCCTGAGCACGTCCACAATTCAGTTAGTGCATAAATGTTTTCAGTACAAGGCAGATGGGTCTGTATCAAGCAACTTGATATGGTGTGGAGAAACTGGGCATGGTCGTTTGGGATTGGAGGGGGCTGCTGTAAGTGCAGAACCCAGTTTAACTAACACTCAGTGAATGGTTTGCGATTCTGTGTCTTTGTCAGCAAGGTTGGTGCCTGCTGGCTTAGGAAAGATCTAGAAGTTTGAAACCCATCGAGTAGACAGCATTCCCGATATTCATGGGTTTACATGGAATGTCACTTTTTCTAGGAACGCAATGAGCCCAATGTCAACTCTATAAGTGAATAATTTCTGACTGAATTAAAATCTCGTCCACCTTCATGTCTTCTCAGTGTTTATTAGCCCTTTAGGAACTGGGTGATGGTCCGAGGTTATAGATGGGATTGAGAGGAAGCTGGAGGTTGGTGTGTATCTACCAAGCTTACGTTACTACAGAGAGCTGCATTCAACACTCAGTAAAAATTAACTCAACAAATGATCTTGAAGGATGTAAAATTCCAAAATGTAATGTTTTCAAAACTTAAATAAAATCTCATGTCCATTAAAAAAGTAAAAATAATTTAAAAATAACCACTTTTGGGGTTAAATTCCTCTGTGCGCTCTCTGTAATGGTTAATATTTCACTGTTATATTTCTGTCTATCCTATTTCAACAGTCAGATATATTCAACAGTGTTGAATGAATACAGATAGGGTATAAGGGGGAAGAGGGTAAATTGAGAAGTGTCTGTCTTTAGAGAAGATGGATTTAATTATATCTATGGGTACCTGCTTATTAATAGAAAATCTTACCTATTAAACAAATCCCACTCTTTTTGGATACTATATCCAAACATGGGTATTTCCAGTTTCAGATTTAAATGTGGATATAGTGGTCGACACTATACTCCTGACTACCGACAGACAAACTAAATCCCTCGGATTTATGACTGTTACAACAGAACACAAGTCACATGCAACTCTTAAAAAACTTAAATCTTGTGGGATTGACTAGCACCGATTCCCATCCTCACAGCCATTAGGAAATTAACCAGGGACTTGAGTAGTTTTGTTACTTCTCCTCCAAGATAAGAAACACTACCTAATTTCGTTGGGGTAACCCACTTTTCCAAAGTTCTTGGGAGCTTAACAGCCCAGACTGTCCCAGGCAGGACAGTCATCTTTGTTATGCCACACTGAGCTACTCTAATACCATGAGGAGTACATTTGTCCTTAAAAAGATTCTAAATAGTTCTCTGTATTGGAGGTCAGAGGTGTGACCGTGGTAGAAACTTTATAACAGTCGCAGGTTAGTAATGGAAGGAGGTGAGGTGGGAGGAAGACCACTTGCTGTGTCTCACTGACACCTGCAATGAACAGTACAGGGTATGCACACACACGAATATCTGATCAAGCCAAGGCTGAATTGGGCACGATACCCATCATGGTCAGAGGTCCACAATCTAAACCCTGATATGGACGAGAAAGAAATGGTCACTTAGGTGACGAGATATTCAAGGGCCATGAAACCTGGGTCCCACCAAAAGACATTACTCTGTCCTGAAAGTGATCAGAAATACCACATTGAAATAATTTTGGTCTTTTTTTTAAAGCAGGGTGCGTACAGAGCCTACAAAGACTCGCTGTCAATGGGTTTCCCGAGAGAAACCTTCATTCTCGACATTTCCGGTAAAGTTGGGCCTGTAATGCCCTTGGTAATGTATGGACAGCCTCAACAATGTATCAATGCACATTGCCCTGCTAAAATAAACACCAATTACCACAGCTATTGCAAAAACCTGAAGGGGAACCCCATATGGTTTTGGTGAAAGAAAATTTACAAAATTAATAGCAGCTCTTAAGATTGTAAAATCAAATCTGGACCACAGGATATGGTAGAAGCTTGCAAAGCCACGTGCAGTGGTTGTATTCTCCCTGGATTTGGATTCTGCCTTTGGTAAAATGCAGCCCCTTTCTCTTGGGCAGGAGGAAGTCCAAAACATAACGGAAATAGCATCTTGCATTAAAACTCAACGCTGTTTCTTTCCCTGACATGTGCATTTGGAATCCACAATATACAGCACAGGCCATGGAATTGTGATTGTCTTCTGATTAAAGCAGTAAGAAAGCTGACAACAGTGTACAGGTTTTTCAAACAAAAACAAGAAGTTTTGTTCCTTTAAAGTGCTACACAGCAACAAACAACAATCAGGGGATGATGCTGCCTTTCAAGCTGACCTTGTCTCATTTGGAGTGGGCCTTGATTTCAAGACAATGACTTTTGTGAGGCAATGGTACATTAAGAGCGCAGGAATCAAGTGGAGTTGAGATACAGAGCATCCATGTTCTAACTGTAGCAGACCAGGTTTGATGGGCTGAATGGCCACCGCCCTGTTTCTACATTCCTAACAGGAAAATGGACCATCGATTCCTAATTCCTCCACAAGTCAAAAGTCATCTGAGGTACCAACAGTTACTGCTCAGTGACTCCTCTCCACCTCATTGTGTCCCTCATTTGAGCTGCGCTCTTCCCTTCGTTACTGTAATGGGACCTTGTAGTAAGTTGGAGGTGTTAGAAGTAAAAGGTAAATGGGGTCAATTTTGTGGTCCCTCTCTCGTTAAACATGGCAAAATATCCCTCTGACTGTGAACCAAAAGGGGCATCCTCTATCCCTGTAGACGCATGGACTCCCTCGAAACGTTAGCACCAACAAGCCAACGGGTTTTGAGGAAACTGCCCAGTGTCCCTTGATGAGGTGTATCGGAAAACTGTCGGTGTTCAGTGATAATGGGTGAATCTGTGCTCAGTGAGTGAGTGAAGTTAGCGGAGTGGAACACTGTCCCACTTCGAGAAACTGGTGTGAACATTCAAGTGAGAGCAAGGTTTGCTTTGATTTACATCTGAAGTACCCCTGTAAAACCCCAGTGCGATGTCTCTCCGTTTTCTCTACCTGCGCCTGTGACCCCACCCCACCCTCCCCATTGCCCCACCCCACCTTGTGCGTGAGATTTCATAGTTAGTGCCAAATTACAGATAGTTGTGTGGTGTGGACTGGACTAATGCTGTCCAAACTCATTCCACATCAGAGTCTTCTCTGCTGACCCAAATATCTTGGAGCCCGTTTCAGTCCAGGCATGAAACTGAACCCAGGTTCCAGGTGAAAGGTTAGTGCCCTATACACTGCGCCAAACTGTGTCTCCTCATCAACACATATGCAGGCCAGCCAAAAGAAGACACTATTGATTTTAAAAATTATGAGATGATCGAAATAAAGACAATTACAATATCCAATTAACACTCTAGTAGAATGGAACTTAAAGCAAAAGAAAAAAAAAATCAAGTATAAACCATCGTGCGTAATTCCACCTTTGTAGTTTTACAGTTCTTGTTTTTAAAAACATTTTACATTCAGAATTTAATTTTACACCGATATTTGACAATTTCTACCCCTCAAGATTTAAATATTAACAGGTTTGAAGGAAAAGAAAATCTCAGGGATGAACCTTTCTCTCCCTCAAATGGGAGAAATGCACAAATTAAAAACCATTGCACTCACTGCAATTGTATTTACAAAATGTAGATTTATGGCGCAGAAATTTGAAGTGAATCAGCTAGCTGGCAAATTAATCTCTCTTGCCCTGAAATCCTCTTATTCTTTCTCGTTTCAGTCAGTGGTTTGTTTAGTCACTGGAAGAATGGCTGGATAGTTTTGGAGGAGTACGTTTAAAAAATCCACTCGTCACCAACCAACCATCTCCAGGTCAATGACCAAGGCCAGCATTAATGCAGGAGGGGAGCAGAGCGTTGAGACTGGCTCTGGAGAAAAGTGTTTTGATTCAAATACTCGTACAGGGTTGGAACGGTGCAAAATAGAATCATCCGCTGCTTCAATTCCAGAGGCTGATGCTCCCAAAAATGTTGTACTGGAAGAAAGTGCCTCAGGAACTGAGGTTCTGGTGACAACACAGCCGTTACTAGTTGGTGGCAGTTGGGGGAAGAAGGTGAAATAAGAATTTGACTCAAGCTCCCTTATCAGAACAGCGCTGAACACAAGTGACAACACAATGCTTTAGAAGACTGTAATGCTTCAAGAATATTGAACTTTTGTTTCACTGCTCTGATTTAATCTGCATCAATTTCCAATTCCAGTCAACAAGCTCCTGGCAAAGGTGGGTTTCAACCAGATTTTTCTTTGCACTGCCTCCTGGACACCATTTCTCCATCATTTGTTTTGTTATACAGAGAGAGAGATTGATGTACCAACTAAATATATATCTATTTTTATTATTTCAGCATGCAGTCCAAATCCATACCACCATCAGAGAGCAATGGGCAAGGCAGTGTGGATATCACACATCTCGTAGACAGCCACACGACTGAAGGGCGTTCCAGTCCTGTCCCTCCCCCTCTTCCAGCCCCATGTCTCCACACAGTCTGTAAAGCAGGAAAGCTCAGCAGTAGAAAACCTCTTCACTGCCCAGAAATTCAGCTGCAGGGTGCTTTTTATCTGGTGCCGTTTTATTCAGTGCTGAGCTGTCTGCTGTTGGTAGGACATCTGTGAAAATACAGAACAGAAAGAAATACATGTATTCCGTTTATAATAACTGATTTTTAAATCTATATAATTTACACGTACAACATACTTTTAATATATGTATATAAAGAATCATAGGATCCCCACAGGAAAGAGGCCATTCAGTCTGCACCAACCCTCCAAAGAGCATCCCACCCAGACCGAGCCCACCCTTGTAACTCCACATCGAGCTTGGCCAATCCACGTAACCTACACATCTTTGGACTGTGGGAGGAAACCAGAGCACCTGGAGGAAACCCACACAGACCCAGGGAGAATGTGCAAACTCCACACAGAGAGTTGCCTGAGGGTGGAATCGAACCCAGGTCCCTGACACTGTGAGGCAGCAGTGCTAACCACTGAGCCACTGCGCTGCTCGATATACACAGGGTATATGTGTGTACACATAGTTCATGTATGGCCCATGTGCACATGAAGGTAAAGTACACTGAGGTAGTCAGAAAGAAACATAAGAACAATTAAGAGTAGGCCATTGATTTTGCTCCATAATCCATTTAGACCATGGCTGATTTCTCTCAGCATTATTTTTCCCCCACGCTATGCCATGTCTCTTGATATCTCTAACACTTAGCAATCCGTTGAGTATGTTCATGACAGAGATCAATGATGGAGTATCCAAGACCCTGGGGCTAAAGAATTCCAAACATTTGCCACCCACTGAGTGGAGAAACACATCTTCATTTCAGTCCTAAATTGCATGGTCCTTTTTCTGAGATTTGCCCCCTGAATCTGGATATTGACATTCCATTACGCACCCCACTCTCTGCACCTCTACAACCAGGAGAAATGCCCTTCCTGCATCACCCCTGTCGAGCCCTGTGTGGAATGCTGTACTTTTCAATGACATCATCTCTTATTCTTCCTCTTCGCAATCATACTTCATGGGTCCATCCTGATATCCCAGAAATTAATCTAATGAACCTCCATTGCACTCTGGTCTATGGCAAGTATACCCAGGTATGGGAACCAGAACTGTACACAACATTCCAGGAGAACCTAACCAAAATTCTATACAATTGCCTCAATGTAGGGAATTGCATCAATGTAGCACCTTCAGCAACCTTTCCACCTCTAGTCAAAAAGTATTGATTCTTACCAAACTGTATGAGCTGAGACATATAAAAGGGGAAGTATGTACAAGCTTTTTCCTGTATGCTGCCTCGCTGTAGTGTCCTGGAGACTCCCCAGATAATCCTGAAAATTGGTAACTCATGTACTGTGCTGGCAACAGCCTTCTCAATCCCCAAATCTGATGAAAGATGGGGGCTTGAGGCCCAAGAGCCTAAGACCACTCCAGCTAGGACTGGCTGTCTCAAAGGTTTTAAACAATAAGTGTCCTTGACCCTGCAACACATCAAGTGCTATTCCAAGAGCCAGCCTCATAACAGTGAACCTAACACCCTACCGCAGATTAACTCCAAATGTTGGCCATAACACACCTGGATTGTACTCGGGTGGCAAGTTCCCAGAGCGGTGACCTTTGCCCTTACGGTGTTTGGACTTCTTCTCCTTTGGTTTTGCGAGCTTGAGTAACCGTGGTGGGAGGGGATTGCTGGTTGAGTTTGTGGTGTTCCGCGGTTGACTCGTGAGGTTCTTGGAATTGCTTTGTGCGGAGTCTTTCCAAGCCGGGCTGGGAGAAGTCTCCACATCCCTCTTCGTAAGGTGCATGTCCGAATGTTCCTGGTTTAATAAATTACAGCCAGAGGGCTTCGTTGAACTTAGGGATCCCTCGGTCAAAGTGCCAATTGGTGTCACAACCTCTCGATCTGAAGACTAGGATAGGGGAACGAGAAAGTTAAAAATTATGGAACTTGAAGTGAGGACAACATCTCTGCCCTGCCTAAGATTTTGCTATGCATGGTTGAAGGTGATAACCCTTTGGCCTGGTAACTGGACACTGGCCAGAAAAGTGGGCTTTGCCCAGGTCACTGGACACCCTTTTTCCCGGCTACTTGCCTCATCTACATGTCTTTTCTTTATATCAGGTCATAGCGTCTGTACGTTTGAAAAGATCTGATTCTCTTCTCAACTGTATAGGATTTGCCTCAGGAATAAAGAAAGTGAAGGATGTCATGCAAACCCCTTGAGTCTGTTCAATAATTCAATTAGATCGCGGTTAATCAGGATCTTAATTCCATTTACCTAGTTTGGCCCCACAATCCTCAATTCCCCAATCTAATAAAAATGCATCAATATCAGATTTGAAGTTTCAATTAACCCTTAGGTTTCCCGAAACCGGCCCCCCACCATTTATTTGGGCGAGTTTCAAATTTATGAAATGCTTTGTACATCCCGAAACCACCTCCCCTTAATTTTCATGTTATATTCCCTTGTTCTGAGCTCTCCACTAGGAGGAGAGCCTCTGGAGAGTCTGTGTCTACCCTGTCAGCTATGTTAATCATTGCAGGACAGCCAGTATTTGTGAAACCTAATGGAATGCTGGTATTTATTGTGAACGGAATTGAACACAAAGGAGAGAGGTTACACTTCAGTGATACAGGACACTGGGGAGATCCTATTTAGATTACGGTGTATAGTCCTGGTCACCTTAAAGGAAGGATATAATTATGTTGGAAGTAGTGCAAAGGTTTACTGGACTAATATCTGGAATGGGTCAGCGGTCTAAGGAGGAAAGGCTGGACAGGCTTTGCTTGCCTCACTGGAGTTGAGAATAAGAGGTGACTTGGCTGAAACATAAGATCCTGAGGGATCTGGACAGGGTAGATGTGGAGTGGGTGTTTCTTATAGAGAATCTAGAACTAGGTGTTGCTGTTTAAAATAGCAATGGGAACATTTTCTTTCCCAGAGGAGGTAGTGGGTCTTTGGAATTCTTTTCCCCCAAAAGGTGGTGAAAGTAGAGCGTCTGAATACTTTTAAGGCTCAGGTGGATTGGTCCTTAGTAGAGGGGGGAGGGGTGAAAATATTTTGATGCTTTAGTTTTCTTCTAGAAAGTCTCTAGGATCACACCAGAATTTCACCAAAGGTTAGTGGTCAATATGTAAAGGTTTCATGTTTGCATCTAAAAAGAAATTGCAACACCATTGTTGAGATTATGCTCTTGTGAGCCTGGTATGTGATTTGGGTCGCAGGGTAACAAGGTGCTGGACTGGTGGTAATGGTGGAAGTTATCCGGAAATGGATTAAGAGTTTCACACAAATATCTTGCACAATATTAAACTGGATGCGTTGAGGAGCTATTTTTCCTACACAGGGACCATTAGACGCAAATAACCTCAGTGAACTACCTTTGCTAATGACTGCTGCTCTCAGCCACAGTAAAGCACAGAAAACAGGAATCAGAGAATAATTGACATGAGTAGGGAAATAGTGCTGGCAAAGTCACCTAAGTGAGTAGTGGGTGGGTGAGTAGAAATGGACCAACCACACAAACTGTTGGGATTAATCAGAATGTGGAACTTGCAGCCAATAGGGCGGATTGAGGGGATGAGCACAACTGCACTTACGGGGCAGCTGGATACAAATGAAGAATAAAGGAACAGAAGGACATGTTGATGGGGTGAGATGAAAGAGTGTGGGAAGAGATTTGTGTGTCATTAACATCAGCATAAATCTATTGAGCTGAATGGTCTGCTTCTACACTCTTAAAGAGGAAGAGTTCTTGGCAGCTTCGGTTTTTACTGATATGTGATTGTAGAAATAAGTGAATTGAAGATGGTGGTGAATGGACTACAGCTGGCTGTCATTGCTACACCTATGGAAACCGACCCCACAACAGGATAAGGTCTCAGTGTGAGGATGCCAGCAACTAACTGCTGAATGTAAAATGTAGTGCTAGGTTTACCAGTCTGCTAGCTCCTTCAATTCTAGCAGACACTGTCACATCTTATTACAGTCCGTAAAGCTTGACCTTTGCCAATGTTTGCCCAAGTGAAGTGAACTCAGGCCAAATGCAGCAGACCGATGTATGTGTTGTACCAAATTGTGTGGATTTGGAATCTTTTAACATAACCAGAAATTCTCAAACACAGAACTGTTTGTTTGGATCTTCACACACACCTTTCCCTCGCAGGTGTAGTGGGGACCAGCTGGAAGGATTAACAGGGCAGCGATCAATGTGTTTAAACCACATCATGAATGTCCCCTGCCATGGCCAACAAGCTCTGGAGTGGGACTCAAAGCCTGAGCCACTGAGCTCCACACAACAAACAAGGGGAAGAGACAGTGGGCTGGATATTACATGGCCCCTCTCATGTATCATGGTTCAGGAGACTGTCTGCCCAATGTTTCTCAGATAGCATTATTGAGTGAAGCTTGTACCTGTGAACTGAGGGAGTCTGAGTGCGTCAGGCGGCTCTGTCTTTGATGAGCGATCAGCTCTTCCATCCTCTTTAGCTGCTCTTTCTCCTTGTCGAGCTGCTTCTGCGCAGCCCTCAGTCTCTCCAGGTCCTGCTGATACTCCTCCTTCCTCAGCTGGAGCTCCTCTCTCTGCTTCTCCACTTCCTTCTGTAACCGTGCCGTCTCAGCATCGTGCAGCGACACCTTGGACTCCCGCTCAGTCAGATCCTTCTCCCTCATCTCCCACTCCCGTTCCCATTTCTTCTTCTCCTCCAGGTGCTGCGCCTGCTGCCGCTTCAGGTTGGTCAGCTCCTGACGGTGTTTCTCCAAACTTCGCTGCTTCTCCTGCTCAATCAGGGAGCTGGGTCGTAAGGACGACCGTGTTAGGCGCTCACTCCTCTCACTCGACGCTTGCTTCTGGTCCTCGATGAATGAATCCTGTTGCACCACGACAGCCTGTTGGGGGCCAAAGGCAAAGTGATTATTAAAGGCAGCAAACATCAGAAACTGTCTGAAGGGGTTTCGGCCTGTAGAGCTGGAGCACCGCGGCCAACAAAAACACCCTCTGAGAATGGGAGGGGAGAAAATATGTAACAACATTCCTGCGTGTTTGGTGAATTTTGCAGCAAATACTGCCCCAGTTGGGCCTAAACTGTGTTGCACAGGAATCATTTCAAATCCAGCCATTAAATAGTTTTAGTCCATTTGCTGTTCCTAGTTTGGAAAAACTGAGTAGCTTGCTAGGCACAGTGGCTCAGTGGTTATAGCGCCGCTGACTTACAACTCCAGAGACATAGGTTCAATTCCAGCCTCAGGCGACTGTGTGGAGTTTGTCCATGTCTACCTGGGTTTCCTCTAGATACTGTGGTTTCCTCGTGCAGGCTAGGTGGAATAGCCATGGGAAAAGCAGCATTATGGGTAGGGTGTGTGGGTCTGGGTGGGACACTCTTTAGAGAGTCAGTGCAGACTTGATGGGCCACATGGCCTCTGCCTTCACTCTTTTATCTTCAGTCATTAACAGTATGAGGGCATTGCTGGCCAGGCAGCATTTATTGCCCATCCCTAATTGTCCAGAGGGCAGTTGAGACTCAACCACATCGCTGTGGGTCTGGAGTCACATGTAGGACAGACCAGGTAAGGATGGCAGTTTCCTTCCCTAAAGGACATGAGTGAACCAGATGGGTTTCTTTTGACAATCGACAATGAGTTCATGGTCACCATTCGATTCTTAATTCCAGATATTTTTATTGAATTCAAATTCCACCATCTGCCATGGCGGCATTTGAACCCGGGTCCCAGAACGTTATCTGGGTCTCTGGATTAACAGTAATTAATCTAGGCCATTGCATAGGATTGTTAAGAGTCAATGACATGGTTATGGGTTTGGCTCAAATCTGCCAGGCCAGATAAGGACGGCAGATTTCCTCTTCTAAAGGGCATTCATGATGCCAGTGGAGCTTTACAACAAATCAGTAAATTCACAGTCATTTTTTCCTGGTAGCATGGGGCTTGGTCCCTCTCTGGATTTCATTAAAATAAGAAGTTGATTTGCCTCTACGCTAGGTATCTCAAAGTCAACCCCAACACCAGAACAGATGACGGTGCATTGCCTGCTGACATGCTCGTACAGGAAGTCAGTGCTGTTGGTGCCATCACCGAGTGCCCACACTGCGATGGAACTGGAAGTGGTGTAGCCATTGTGTCTACCTCTCCTTCAAGCCTCTGCTGCTTGTTTCCTGTGGTCCCCTCCTTGTCCTATGGTGAACAGCACGGGCACTTTGGTTGCTTTGTCAGTGGTTTAATAACTTTAGATCTTACCCCTAGGAGTCCACTGAAATCAAATCACCGCATTGCTTGTGTCAGAAACATTGCCTTTTAATGGCAGGATTTGCATGTGTGGTGAGAATGCCCCCTGCAGGGGGCACTGGATGGAAATAATGATAGACTGATGAAAAGATGCTGCTAATTTAAAGTTGGACGACAGAGGGCACTGTCAGAACACAAACGAGATCCAGACTGAGTAAAGCCTGACCTTGTCTTTTTTTCAACTGCAGGTCACTTTCTCTGAAAAAGTTCTTCCATGCGCTCCTGGGGAATGACCAACTCACCCCTTATCCATTTCATTAAGCACTGAGCAATCTCCCTTGCCAGTTCAATGGGCAAATGCATCACCTACTGCAGTGCTGGAATTATATGCCAGTAAAAACCTTACTTTGATTCTAATCTGCAGCTAGGGAACTCTACTGTTGGTCTCAGTGTCCCCAGGTCAGGGAGGAGCAATTAGCTGCCCCTCATCACAAATGTGCATTAGTAGATACTGGAAAACAGCATCCTCAGCTGCTTTGTTAATGACCTTCCCTCCAGTAAAAGACCAGAAGTAGCTTGGGGAGGGGGTAGACCCCCACTTTCTGAAGCTGTCCACACTCCCATTCATCCGGAGATGTACAACATTTGGGATTGGGCCAGGAAGTGACAAGTAACATTTGTGGCACACACATGGCAGGCTATAGCCATCACCAACAAGGGAGAATCGAACTGTTACCACATGGCATTTGACCACATGACCATCAATGAATCCTCCACAATCAGCATCTTCTGGGGGTTGTGGTTGACCAGAAATGTAACTGGACCAGCCACAATAAAATCTATAGCTATAAGACTACATCTACCACTTCCTCTGGTAGTTCATTCCACATATAAACCACCCTGTTGCCCGTCCCTAGTTGCCCCTTGAGAAGGTGGGGGTGAGCTGCCTTCTTGAACCGCTGCAATCCATGTGCTGTAGGTAGACCCACAATGCCCTTAGGGAGGGAATTCCAGGACTTTGATCCAGCGACAGTGAAGGAATGACGATCCTTGATAGACAAGGTGAAAGTCAGCACTGTGATGAAATACTCCCCGCTTGTCTGGATGAATGCAAATCCCACAACACACAGTACAGGATGTTTGACAACAATTAGGATAAACTGATCAGCAGCCCATCCACTACCTTAAGCACTGACACCCTCCACCACTGGTTCAGTGAAAACAGGGTGTACCAACTACAAGATGCAATGCAGCAGCTCACTAAGACCTCTTCCTCAGCACTGCCCAAACCCATGAACACTTCCATCCTGAAGGACAAGGTCAGTTGATACATCGAAAATCCACCACCTGCAAGTTCCCTTCCATGTCACTCACCTTCCTGACTTGGAAATATATCGCCGTTCCTTCACTGTTGTTGGGTCAAAATTCTGGAAGTCCTTCCCTAACGGCAGCAGTTCAAGAAGACAGGTCACTACCACCTTCTCAAGGGCAACTAGGTGTGGGTAACAGGATGGCTTGTATGTGGAATGAACTACCAGAGGAAGTGGTAGATGCAGGTACAATTACAATATTTAAAAGACATTTGGATAAGTTCATGAATTGGAGAGGTACAGGCCAAATGCAGGCTAGTGGGACTAGTTTAGTTTGGGAAACTTGGTCAGTATAGACTGGTTGGACCAAAGGGTCTGTTTCTGTGCTGTATGACTATAACTGCCTAGGAACAGATGGAAGACAACAGAGGGGCAAATGCACATTATCGTGTTGTGTGGCCTCTGCTATCGTTAATTGCAGGAGCTTTAGAAATGACTATTAAAAGGGGATAAACATGAAAGACAAACCTGTAATCCAAGCAGCAACTGCTGTAGACTCAGCACCTTCTGAAGCACATACTGTAACAGAAACACATCATGTAAGATGAAGCAGGAACAAGAATTTTTAAAATCGATGCCCTTCCATTGAACCCAGAATGAACAGCATCTTCAGTGTGCAGACACAGAGCATGTGTACGTG